TTTTCTGCAGGGTCCCTTGAGCCTGAAGGGAGGGGTTTGGTGGAGACATCCCTTTTGGGGCTGAGTGTTCCAAGTTCTCTGTCTCTCTGCATATATTATGTGGTTCTCTGTGCTTTCCAATCTGTTGCAGGAGGCAGACTCTCTGATACTGGCTGACCAAGACCCTGATATGAGTGTAGCTGAATATTATTAAGTATTTTTACTTATTATTATCAATTTAATATTATTTTATTATAATATTAATTTAATATAATTTAATAGTATTAGGTAATTTTATTGATATGTTTCTTTTCTCCTCTAAGTCCCCAGGATTTCTAGTCTCAGCTTCTTGGCCACACATGTAGTGTTGGGTATGAGTTACATCTTCTGGAGTGGGCCTTAAGTCAAATCGGATATTGGCTGAATATTTCTATAAACAGTATGACACTGTTGAACCGGTGTATCTTGCAGGCAGGTCACTCTTATAGTTTAAAAGATTTGTAGCTGGGTTAGCTTTTAACCTTTCATCTTTGGTGGCATCTAGAGTACCTTCCAGTACCACGTGTAGGTGAAGTTTCTGCGTAGGCCCCAGCTGTACTGCTTCATGTTCAACAAGTTGTTTAGGTGTTACCTTCAGCAATGGGGCCTTGCCCTCAGTTTATGGAGAGCCAATAGCCTTGTTTGTTTGAGGGTCCTCATGAGGCTCCTTTGGCCAACAACTCAATTAGTTGTAATCCATTCCCTACACTGTAAGCTTCACTTGGTGACAAGAGATGCTCAGTTGGTCTCTGTCTCATCCCCTCAGTTATCTGTCAGTTTCATTTAGATCCCCTTCATATGTGTACACATTATAGGAAGCTTCTACTGTGTTAGATGTCCATGTGACTCCTCATAAAATTAAGATGGCCCTTAATTTTAGCATCCTTCCAGTTTTCCCTCCCTTGCCTCCTCTTCCCTCTTCTCTGTTTAATCTTCCCATTCTAGTTCCCACTTCCCCTCCATCTCCATCTATAACTATCTGTGCTATTTACCCTTTCTAGGGATATCCACCTCTCTTCCCCAGTCCCTTACACTCTACCTGCTCTCTGTGGTTATATGGATTATAGCTTGCTAGTTAATGACGTGATAGCTAACATCATATAAGCAAATACAAACCATATTTGTCTTCCTATATCTATGTTACTTCTTTCGGGATGGGTTCTTTTTCTAGTTCTATTCATTTACTTATGAATTTCATGGTTCTTTTTAAAAAATGGCTGAATAATATTCCCACTGTATAAAAGTACCACACATTTTAATCCATTCATCCATCAACAGATGTCTAGGTTGTTTCCAATTTCTGGCTATTATGAACAGAACAGTAGTGAACAGGTTGAGCAAGTGTTTCTGTCATAGGATGAAGTGTCCTTTGAATAAATGCCCAAGAGTGGTACAGCTGGATCTTGAGGTTGATTGATTTCTATCTGCCCAGGGAACCACCATAACTGATTTTTCCATAGTGGCTGTATAAGCTTGTACTCCCACAAGCAATGACTGAGTGTTTACATCACCCCCACACCATCCCCCCCAATATCATCTTTAATATGAACTGTCAGTTGTTTTATTGATCTTTGTCATTCTGATTGGTGTAAGATGATGTCTCAAAGTAGTTTTAATTTCCATTTTCCTAAAGACTAAAGATGTTGAACTATTCTTTAAGTGGTTCTCAGCCAGTTGAATTTCCTCTTTTGAGAATTCTTTTAGATCTGTGCCTCATTTTTAATTGGTTTATTTGTTTTCTTGATGTTCAGTTTCTTCTTTCTTTTAGTTCTTTAAAAAATGTTTTGCATATTAGCTCTTTATTGGATGGGCATTTGGTATCTTTTCCCATTCTGTTTTTGCCACTTTATCTGAATGATGATGTACTTTGCCTTACAGAAACTTTTCAGTTTCATGAGGTCTTTTTAATTGTTGATCTTAGTGCCTATGCTATTGGTATTCTGTTCAGAAATTCCTTTCTTTGCCTGTGAGTTCAAGGCTATTCAACACTTAGTGTTCTAGTATATTTAGTATATTCAGCCTTATGCTGAGGTCATTGATCCATCTGGAGTTTTGTGCATGGTGATAAGTAGGGATCTATTTGTATTCTTCTACATTCAGACATCCAGTTTAACCAGCATCATTTGCTGACAATGTTGTCTATTTTCCTGTATGTGTTTTTGGATTCTTCATCAAAAGTCAGGTCTCCATAGATTGGTGGACTTATTTCTGGGTCTTAATTCTACTCCATTGATCAGACAGTTGTATAATTTCATCTTTAAAAATTGAACATGATATGCTCTTAAGTAATTATTTTACACTTATGGTGACTAGCTAGTATTCACTGAATTTCTGGTTGACATCTTGTGAACTTCTTGACAAATACATAATGTTGTAATTTCTGTTAATATCCAGATGATAACTGTGGGAAAAACTCACAGAAATATAAAGACCTTGGTCAAGGTGGTAGTTGATTCAACTTGTTGGTGTCTTGCATATTGCTGTTCATTCCTAACCACACACAGTACTGCTCTGTAGAAGTTGGGTCTGTCAAATGCATACTTTTTTATTCAGTAAGTGAATATTGGACATAATTTGTTTTCTTATATAATTGTAAAATGAGGTTAAATGTTTTTTTTGTAGTTTTTAGTTTCTACCCACTTTCAGACAAGAACTAGAATTTCAAACCTTTTATAGAAGTTACTGAAGCTGTGCTATATGCTAGCTTTCTTTCATAGATCAGATCTTGAGTAAGAAACTGACAGTAAGATGTTCCATCTATGCTAAAGGGGATGAGCATGTGCTGTGCTTTCAGAGCCCAAACTTTCTGAGATATTTCTTTGGTAGCTCACTTGCTGGGTTAGGCTTAGTCCCACTTCCTCACTTACAGAACAGGAATAATATACTGACCTATGTTGAATGGTGTGTTAGAAATGGTGCCTTCCCAAGCACAATTTACAGAGCATTGTATTACTGTATTTTGCCAACAAATAGCAGGCAATTGGGTCATTCCTTAGTTATTTCCAGGGTGTTAGAGGTTTCTGAGTTCATCTTTCCCCAGGTTTCCTAATTTACCAACAGGAAAACTGGAAATTCAGGATTCCTTATGTGTCTACATTTGAAAATGATTTATGTTTTCACATCAGGGAAAGAGGTTTTATGTAGCATCTTTCTTTTAAATAAAAATTCAGAACGTATTGTCTGAACTGGAAGTATCTCAAAGGTCTAGGATATATAACTGCTGTCTGGGTGATGCTCTCAGTATTCTCTTGGGTGTGGTGGGGCCTTCTGCATTTGTATTCCCCAGTCTTTTATTCCAGGCATCACAATGTTGTCTAGACTTTCTTGTGTGAATTCCATTCAGAGGAGATGGAAAATCCATGAATTAAATTTAAGCATTGCTCTCTCCTTCCCTTGAAGCAACAAGCTGATGGAGAAAGAGTTATAGCCGAGTATTGGTGTAGGGAGATGCTCATGGGTTCTGAGGAGAACTAGAAGTCAGTATGACTAGCAGCATAGACAAAGCAAAAGTTGTCTGCTTACCAAAAACGAGGAGAGTCTGATATATAGAAAAATCTTATATTAGATTATTTATGTTGATATCTAGAGTATCAAGTAAATGTAGGGTGGTCCCTTATCCTTATGGAACTTACTTGGTTGGGTGATAGGCCACATTCAAGGACTTGATTCAGACCTGCCTGTAAACATTTTCCCCCTATCTGCCCATTAACTCTTGTGTTTATAGCCTAAATTTCCAGCTCCATTCTACACCAGATCGATGGAAACATTCACTGTGGGCTTCTTTGTAAGGGAGACCAGCAGCCCTCACTCACTAAGGTGCTTTAGGGATGTGTGGCTGAGCTCTCAGGGTCAGACCCAGCCCTCTTTGGGCTATGGAGTTTTCACTCTTCCTGTCTAGTGATACTCTCAGATGTCCTATTTGCTTAATCCTTGTCACCAAGAGTGGTATTTTGTTTTAATGCATTGACCAGTGTAGGTAGCAAAACACTGATGAATACATCAAAAATGTTCAAGTTACCACATGCCTCATCTGTCTTCTGGGACCTTACATTTGAGGACCCAGTGATTCTACTAAGACACTAAGTGTACACACACATCATTGGTTCATTGGGGATCTCATGCTCTAAATATTTTAATAGATAACAAAGATTCAGTTTCTATAAACAATCATTATTTGTGAGTCAATTTTGTCAGGTAACATGAACACATTGCAGGATTAGTTTGGGGGTGAGAATTCTGAAAGTGGGCATCTTAAATCCATGCTCACATATTTTCCTTCCCATGCTTGCTTTTTTCATGCCCGTTGCCCCCTTGCTTCTTCCTCCAATATCTAATGTTATTTTATCTTTTCCAAATCCATAAATTCAACTAACGTAGGGGAAACGGCCCTGACTGGGAAATTTGGTTTAGTATAGTATGCCAATGGCTACCTATGTTGTAAGGTGGGTTCCAAAGATCTAGCTAGTGGACACCTGATCCTTAGAAGGAATACAGTAAAACAAGAATACCTTCCTCTTATGGTGCTGCATGCCAGTTTATAGATTGTGGATTCTTTTTAGTGGCTTTCTTTAAAGTGAGGATTTTGTATTGTGCCATAGTACCATACTACAACAATGTATGTTGTTGATAAAATCAAGACATTTCATATGATCACAACTTTGTTAAAAGTTCTTATGGGAATCCAGAGTTATTTAGGAATATGTCCTAATTTTAAGTGAGCCAAATATAGTTTTAGAAACATATTCGTGGTCTTAAGTACAGCAACAAAGTGTAAATGTTCATGATTGAATATACTTTTTAAAAATAAAAATAATTGAATTACCTAAGTGTTTTGGAGAAATGATTTTAGTTCTTAAAATATGATAAATATGGACTGGCTCAGGAATAGATTTTATAGCAAAGTGTGGTTTAGCTTTTTGAGGTGACTCTTTACATTGTGCCCCTCTCCTGTCTGATGTCTTACAATTCTTTTTTACCCACAGATTTACCAATAAAGAGATATAGAGAATATGAGCTGGTGACACCAGTTAGCACAAACCTAAAAGGACACTATCTTTCCCATATTCTTTCTGCAAATCACAAAAAGAGGTCACCCAGGGATGTGTCATCTAACTCAGAGCAATTGTTCTTCAACGTCACTGCATTTGGAAGAGATTTCCATCTTCGACTAAAGCCCAACACTCGCTTCCTAGCTCCTGGGGCTGTTGTGGAATGGCATGAGACAGCTCCGGTGCCTGGGAATACAACTGACCCCAGAAAGGGCCGTCAACACGGAAGTGCTTCGGAAAGAATCTGGAGATCAGAGCCTCTGCAGACTAGCTGTGCCTATGTTGGTGACATCATGGACATTCCAGGAACCTCTGTTGCCATTAGCAACTGTGATGGTCTGGTAAGATTCATTTCCTTTCCTGTGTGTGTGTGCACATGGGAGTGTGCAGGTGTTGGCCTTCAGTGTGTCCTCAGTATCGCAAGGTAGAGGTGGAAAGGAAACCCAACTCCAGGCAGCTTGGTGGGTGGGGCAGGCGCCCTCTGCCCTGCAACTGTTATGGCTTCTGTATACGGCCTTGTCCATCTTACAACCTTCTGGATTTCCTGAGTCTTGCAGGAACTTCGTTCCCTTGGGAAGACATGACTAGACAAAGGTGACTAATAATTGATAAAGTATAGTGTCCCTCTTGCTAGGCTACCATATTTCTAGGTTAGAAACACTGAGCTACCCAGCCCCAGAATTGTCCCTACTCTCTGTAGATTTCTGGAACAAACTTCTGCTTCGGTGGACAACCCCTTTCCCCACTGTCTTCTCGACTCTAGCCACAATTCTGTCAGTAGAGATTGTTCCAGCTATCCCTGAGATGACCATGGCTCCCATCCCTGTCATGCCTGTAGCGTACACAGCCTTTGATGGCCTGTGGGAGGAGGTGTTGGCCTGCTTCACCGTCTAACTTTCCTCTCGGAAGTGAGTTCAGGGGAAGACGTCATGATAGTGGCAGGTAGTTTACACTGGGGTGGGGAAACACTGTTGCTAGAAGCCCTAGACGACTATTTCTTTTCTCCGCAGAGTCCTGCCATGTGCTGTCTCACACCACCAAATTACTCACTTGAGTAGTGACAGCTCATACTGATTTTTGTGCTTTGTAAGTTTACCGAAATACAGGAATGTTTGATATAATCTTATATCATGAGTTTTGCGTTAAGTTTTTCTAGACTTACTAACACACTGTTGCCTTGTTAATTAACATGCTTTGTCAGCAGGGGAAACTGGTTGGGAGTGGAGGAAATGGGTAAGTTAATTGCTTTTCTGGTTACTGGAGGTCAGTGATTTCCTTCTGGGCTGCTTTTAAGATCAAGGGAGATTATCAAGCACTAAGGTTTTCCACATTTAAAAAATACTTCTAACTTCTGATGAAAGGATTGGGTTTTATCTAGTAAAAATGGCATGTAAAAAAGATAAACAGGAAAAGTATGACTGAAAAAGATGGGAGGTGTTCTTTCTCCTCTTCCTTCTTGCCCTTGAACCTTTGCTTCTCTGAGGGTTAGAACAGGAAACCGTCATAACATCAGGGGTCCTGGATGCTAAGGTTAACGGTTTAGTAATGATGGATGGATGTCTTTTTCAAAAATATTAGATAGTCACATCTGGTGAATATCACAGGCATTTTATCCTTGTTGGATCTTTTGGGCAGGACCAAATGAACTGTGTGGGCAGTTGCCAACTTCTAACAAAAACATCCTCAGGGCTTCTGCTTTGAGATCTGGTCCCTTCCAGCACAGGCCGTTGCATGGCTTGCCTCAGTAAGTCTGGTTGCAGAGGCACATTTTTAACCAAGTCTGTTTTCGAAAGACTCCAACAGTGTGCGTGTGATTGAGAACATTTGGTAATTGTAGATTCAGCTCAATCTGGTAAGTGAAATGTTTGGCCCTAAAAATAGGCATGGCCATGTAGTCCCTGGCAGGGCACTTGGAGAAGCTGGTTGGTGGGGACTGACCTTTAAGATGCTGAGGGTGAACATCTGCTTCTGAGAGCTGAGGCTCCTCTCTCTAGGCCAGTGTCATCTTACTGTTTTCTTCCACAAGATTCTTGTGGAAGTGGCTGTGTCCCACTGATGGGCAGAGGGGAGGATCATGCCTTTCTGGTTTACATACTGACTTTCGGTGTCGTAGAAACTCTGAGGAAGAGAAGACTGAAACTGTGTTTCCAGGTCAACATGAGGCCGTTTTCAGATGAAAGACTGTAATTCTCAGTGTATACAGGGAGATAAAAAAGAAAGTGGAATGCGATTGGTAAAAGTCCCCCCATTTGCTTCATCTATGAGACCATGACTGTTGCAAGCTTGCTTCTTAAACTATGGCTTGCTTGATCCTTCCATGCCCCATAGTCGCTGATGATATTGTCTAGTTTTGTGTGACCTATGCCAGGTTTGAGCCTTCACCCACGTCATCCACCTTGTCCTCCCTTTTCATGCAGCGAGGCAGCCAGTTTGTACATATTTAAAATAAAAAGTAATGGGTTAGCCCATCATTTAATCATTATTATATCTCATGCCACGTAATAACTGACGTAGTTTCTTGAAGGTACTGAGGAAATGCGTAAGTGACTGTGAAAACAGTAGTCAGAGCCCCTTACATTACTTTTGGGCAAATTATACTTGAAGCAAGAAGATAAGAACATCATGGAGGTGACACGATGCCCTGTGGGGGGCTCCTCTTTGAGACCGCAGATTTTCTGTAAACTAAGCCTACCTTCAAAATCCCCTAAGCTTGGTGATTATTGTTCCAATTAATCTGATTGTAGACACCCTGATCCAAGTTAGGACAGCAGTGAAACACTCACGTGTGCCAGGCTTTGTGCATTTGATGCATGGGGTGCATATTGAAGTAGGCCAGGCTTAGCCTTTGTCTTTAGTGAGAACTGGAAATAAGGTATGCAAAATCATAATCAAAGAATCAGGCTGATATCAAGGATGCTACACAATGAGAGGGGGGACTGTGAGAACTTAGACGATGGAAAGAGTATTCCTGCCTTGGATAATGGTAGTCTTGATGGAAAAGCTGTACTCTGATGTTGGAAAACTGAGGAGATGAATGTGTATGTTAGCACAATCAAGGGTGAAGGAAAGGAAGGGGTGGGAAGAACTGCACACCTCTAGGGTCACATGATTGGGGAGAGCTTGAGAAGGCTGATTTCATGAGGTTTGTAGCCCATGCAACAAAAGTGTGGGAGGGTCCCTATAGAGCAGGCCCATCATTACCTGAATGTAGGACAAGGATGTTAGATTATGAAGGGAAGAAAGAGAAAAAGAAGGCCATCTCACAGATGATGCTCAGATGCATGGCTGATACTGTCGGGGTTACCTGGATGTTCAGGATGACGACAGGGCAAAGATTGATGGATCCTATTTTTCCTCATAGAACATGTCCTGGAGGCCTGTGGACTTTGCCATTGGTATTTAGACAGGTTCATACAAACAGTAATTTCTTTTTCTAGAGTTCCTCGAATTTTCTATGAGAAGTATGGGACTTGCTTTTGGAGAATCAGAGTCAATTCCCAAAATCTCAGGCTCCCCAACCTTTAAATCTGAGGAGGTAAACTATATTCTTTATGAAGATTTATATTAGTTTGGTTTCTTCCATCTGGTATGTTTCCCATACCTTCCTGTCTGTTTACATTCTAATCAGGTTTCTTCATTCTGTCTCTAAAGAGTATTTCTAATGCCTTTTAGTGATTTCTGCTTTCACACAGAAATTAAAGTAAAATGCAGATGAAGATAATATAATTTTATCTAATCAATGTCACTAAACTCTTGAGGGCAAACCAGTAATTCCTGTACTAATAAGGGAGTTGATTTGATATTCATTCATAGTTTATGTTATAGTATCTAGTCTCTATTGGTATGTATAGGTATGTTCATATAAGGGATATGTATTTCTACACATTTATGTATACATATATTTATATTTATAAACACATATCACATAATTGGGAAAGTCAGCCATACACAGCATCATTTTCAGTCAAGAGAAATGTAGCTAAATTTAAAGATGCATTGTTAAATTATAATTGCTTAAAATTAACTATAGTGCATATTGTATACTGCCAAAAGAGTTTTGCGGTCATTTCCTGTTGTACTTGCAGTGATCTGGAATGTTACCAGTTTCACTCCTAAAAATTGATGGGATGCTAATTCTTTACCCTTTATCAGTCTGTGTCCTTCATCATTGGAAAGTATCAGGAAAAAAAATATATCTCATGAGATCCTGTCTCAAAATAAAAGTTTAAGAGGGAATTTAGCTTCATGAAAGATTCTTGCCTATTGTTTGTGTAGCCTGGGTTCAGTTATAGTAATTCAGAAAAGAGAAAGCAAACCCTCCAAGTTCTTTTGTATTTTTTACCATATTTAATATGTGATAATTGACTGTTATTGGTAAATTTCCAGTCATTTGAAAACTACCAGTAGTTAAGTTTTTTTTTTTTTTTGTGGAGTTGATTGTACATGAGAATTCATTCTCTCTCTCTCTCTCTCTCTCTCTCTCTCTCTCTCTCCTTTTCTTGGTGTATTATGACATTGAACCTAGTGTCTCATACATTTTAGGCAGGTACCCAGTCACTGAGCTACATCTCCAGCCCCATGAGACTTTTCAGTTGTTTAGAGAATAGCATCCTTTATCCCTGTGTTCAAGTATCAACTGTAGCTGCATGTTGTTTTCATTTACTCACTCATTCTCTGGCTGGCTATTCTATGCATTTTTATGGCCTGATATTCCTTATGCAGATATTTATGATTTTTAAATATGTTTTTATTAATGGACATATTCCTTTGTTTCTTGAAACTTGTTTTGTAAAGTCTGTTTTGCCTAAAGTTGATATATGGGATGGGCTTCCCTTTTAATTAACTTATGTCTCTGGACCTAAAGTGATTTTTTAATAAGCATTGTATAGTAGAATTATTGTTTTATTTTATTATATATGTTTTCTTTCACTCTATATTGCCTGAGATTTTCCAAATGGCTATTTTTTTTTTTGCAACAAATATCAGGGGGTTTTGTGATGAAATGAATGATCTTTCCAAGGCCCTCTTCCATTTTGTTTTCCATCTTTCTCTAAAGGGACCAATGGATTCTCCTACTAGGTCTTACCTGTAGAATATTGGAATTCGGAGATGAGACCCAGAGTCTCAGGTCTGAGTAAGCTAAGAGGGCAGTCTGCATGCCTAACCTTTAGCAAGCGAGAACTCGCCACGAATGAGGAATCCATTGTGGTGTCTGTGGAGAAGGCCCTGAGAAACAAAGAACTCTGTGTGTGGTGTTTGTTTGAGTCATAATAGACGGTGAAGGGCTTGCTAGGGTATTTCCTAAACTCTTTAAATTGGATAGAAATTCCCTATGATGTAG